TCTCCCTTTCTGACATGGGTCTATGGAATTAGGAAGATATGAGTTTTCTTTTCCATACCTCATAAAGCAACTCTTAACTTCTCTATACATTAATACCCTCTCCTCCTCTCTTCCTTGCCATTTTTTTCTCTTTCTGAATCATTTCTTTTTTCTCCCTGTGTTGCTTAAAGTATCATCTAAAAATGGTACAACTGTATATTATAGTATCTTAGGATAGATTCAATATTCTTTTAACATAATGGTCCTCTTTTATACTTTTAGTCTTAATAGGCTTTGAAACAAATAACAGATATGAAATTAAGAACAGCCTTGGACAGAGGATTTACTTTGCAGCAGAGGATACTGATTGTTGTACCCGAAATTGCTGTGGAGCTTCCAGACCTTTTACCATGAGGATTCTTGATAATATGGGCCGAGAAGTCATGACTCTGGAGAGACCTCTAAGGTGTACCAGCTGTTGTTGCCCCTGCTGCCTTCAGGAGGTCAGTGAACAATTTTCTGGGTAATTGTAAAATAGTTCAACAAGAATTTTCACCCTTTTGCTGAAGCTATATAATCAAATGGGATTTAAGGAAAATTGGTCCACAAGCTATTGGTTTATGGTCAAGAATAAATAGGAGGAAGGATGGCAGATGAAAAACAATGAGAAGTTATCCCTATGTCCCTGAGAATTTTGTCTGGTAGGATTGTGCATCTGCTCAGAGACCAGACTTCTCAATCTTCAAGAAGGGCTGGGACAATAAAACACTTGGTCAAGTCCCTTACTTGAAATGATCATAGACAATATCCAAGAATACAATTCCTGGAGCAAGTATACAGAAGAATGAGGGAAAAAAGAGATGTATTAATCTAACAATTTGGCCAACCCGTTATGGAGCAAACCTAAAAGAGAGCTGCTCTGAGAAATCTCAACTCCTGTGTTTTTTGGTTCTCCATTCCAAAAAAAAAAAAAAAAGAATGTATTTGAGTCCCCTGTGGTAAATACATACTAATTGTGAGTACCTTTAGTTTCATAATGGCCAGCTGTGTATTTCATATTACTTGTCAGCCCACCTATAGAGAACATAGATCTCAGGATACAGAGATTTTATAGGAAAGTTGACCTTTGCCTATATCTCTATTGGCCTGAGACCAGCCCTTCCTGGTCAGTCATTCCACATAAGTAGCTGGGAGGCCATGATCCAGAGACACAAGCACATAGATATTTGGAGTGTAATACTGCACTTGCTTTAAAAAGATAACTGAAGTTATTCATACTTAATTATTTTGTTTTCCATGTCATTTTGGTTAGGTATGGTAGTATCCATCCATTAGGATATCTGAGCAAAATATGAGAGTTTGATGGAATATGGTCTAAAGGTAAAGAGTACATTAAAAAGCATTATCTATTGATCTTAAACAGTAGCACTGGAAGTCTTCCTTTACACGTGATCATACTGAGGTACTGTCTGGGTCACCCAGCTAAGTAACACAGCCAAATTTCCCGGCCCCATTTTCTTTTCATTATAGCATCACTGCAACACATATTTGAAAATGGCAATGATCAGAGTTCTGTCCATACATCCAAACAACTGTTTTTAATGGAGTTAGAGAAAAGAGTTCCTTAATAATTTACACATTTTTTATTAATATAGAAATTTCAAAATGTACAAGGCCGGTAGAGCAGTGCTTAAATGTGTTGAGACTATGTGTGTAGCATGCCCGAGTTTGTGGCTCATCTCTTCTACTTTCTATCTATGAAATCTGATACAGGTTAATGAATCTTTCTGCTCCTCGGTTACTTCATCTATAAATAGGGATGATGATACCAACCTGGAAGACAAGTTATAAATCAAGTGGTGCTTAGAACAGTCTCTGACATTTACAAAGTATTCAGTAAATGAGAGTTATTATTAGACATTATTGTCATTACAACTTATATGTGTTCTTTTGCCTTTTAGATAGAAATCCACGCTCCTCCTGGAGTACCTATAGGGTATGTTACTCAGAATTGGCACCCATGCCTGCCAAAGTTTACTGTTCAAAATGAGAGGAGAGAGGATGTACTTAAAATTGTTGGTCCATGTCTTGTATGCAGTTGTTGTGCAGATATTGATTTTGAGGTAAGAGATGTGATAATCTTTTATAGATTTTGCTTTCCTAATGTAAGAATTATATATGTATATCCTGATATCTCAAGAGGGAAACAATGTGCTCATATATTTAATTTTGGTCAAAAATGGTGGTCATTTCTGTCATTGAACATCAGTGTTCATTATGCTAAATGAAAAAAAGAAAAGTAGAGCCCTGTAGTCAAATAAATATAAGTAAAACATCTAACATCTAAACGTGGTAGTTTTTGTATGGAAGTACAGTATATTATCCATTTTCAGTAGAACCTTTGTCAGTGTAGTCTGACTTCCAAAGCATGTGGATCCCTCCATAGTTTGAAACACAAGCTGCTAGTGTTCATAGCACTCTTTAGTAGGTTTGACATCTTTGAGTTCCTACAAAAAGGCCAATTATGCAAAGAGAGTTTTAAAGAAGGTAGTGTAAGACATATTACCCAATAATGCTTCTCTATGGTCTCTCCTTTATCTTTATATTAAATTTGATCATTAGAAACCACAATATAACTGTGTACTTACGATATGGAGAAATTTCATTAGAGCAGTTTTCCAACAGATGGCCTAGCCTGATAGCTCACATTACTTAATTGCGAATATTAAAAGTCTGGTGATTTTAGAAGTTAATCTTGATTTTCTCACTCTGTTGGAAAATCAGAAAATGTGGTAAAGTGGACCCACATTTCTATAAAAGGGGCAAAAAAGTCTGAACCTGAGTAGTGCTGCCCCCTTGTGATAATATGTGGGAACTGCCAATCACCTTTGACTTCCTAAGGTTTTCCACTATCCAACTTCACTCTTTTATAGTAGTATCTGCCTGGCAATTAGTCACATGATATTCAGTTCCTCTTTTAGATGCTGATCATATGAAAATGAATTTTCTTTGTCATTGACTTAGGATTCTAATGAGCGAGACAGGCATTCCAAGAAAACACATGTGATTTAATAGAGCCTTTATGAACACTCTTAAAATGGAATATGGATTGTGGGGTGAGGGATGTATACTATGTATGTGTAAAGACTTTATAGGTTTATGTATAATAATAGTTCTATATGTAGAGATTATCATTTCTATCAAAGATCCAGAGGAGTCAAAGAAAATTGTTCTTTTAGGGAATATTAGCACAAGTTTAGATACTATATTTTATTTATGGAAAATAAGTGAAGATACTGGAGAAGCAAGTCAGACGGGATCGTGAAACCCTTACATTTAATGCTAAAGAATTTAGAAGTCATCCAGCAACCATTCTGAATGGATACCTTAGAACATATATTATATGTAATAAATTAACTTCCCTCCTGTGCATTTAGAATGGTTCTACTAGGTAACATTTTTGAGAGAATTGAGAAACTAGTCTCTTGAAATGTTTTCAGGCTATATAATGAGAAGTTTGAAGGCAGAAATTGTCAATATGAGGGACCATTATGGAACATGATTTCCATTTGGGCATCGGTGGGCACGGCAACTGGGTGTAGAAACAGAGCAGGGATAGGCAGCATTCTAAAGGAAGAAGTAATTTGAGAGACATTTAATAAGTGTACAAAGTAGAATTACGTACAGATTTGATGTCAGTTGAGGATAAAAGAAAATTTGGATATTATTCTGATGTCTGAGGATTAAGATGCTAAATGAATACAGTGCCATTGGCCCAGTTAAAAATCTTGGAAGAGAAATAGTTGATTTGTGGAAAGCTAATAGTGTGTAGTTGAATTGTATTGGATTTCAAGTATGTAGAGGGAAAAGTTGAGGGGTTTGTAGCATGCCGATGGTAGTTAAAGCCATGATAAGATTATTCCAAGGGAGAATAGAAGGAAGATAGGTAGAATCTCTATCCCATGGAGACGATAAGGGAATCTGTGTCCTTCCAGGACTCTTGGTAAAACAGGCAAATCAATATGCCTACATGAAACTGATATTCCAATTCACCCTGCTAGATGAGTTTAGTGTCTGAATTCATACTACTGTTTCATACCATGGTTTAGCAATCTAAAATCATAGAAATTTATCCTGAGTGGTGATACAGATGGCAGAGTCAAATGCAAAAGCCCACTAGGACATCGATCACCAAGGGCACCTCTATTCCTACAGAACAAGCCCTATCTTCACGTGAGCAGATTCAAAAATTACCAACGGCTCAAAGAACTACTCCACCCGGAATAAGCTGCATGTAATACTACAATCTGCAATCGATCCTATAAGAAATACCTAAGTAAACATTAAAGAGACAAAACAAGAAACATAACAGGAAGAATGAGACTAAAGAACAGGAAAACAAACCAAATAGAACCTCCAGAAATGAAGAAAAGTCATTGAGAAAACTTCATTGGAAAAGATGAGCTGCAAATTAGATACAGATGAGGAGAAAATGCTTAACTGGATGATTTATATGAGGAAAATATACAGGGGAGATACAAATTGGAAGGGACAAAATAATTGAAGGGACAGGAAGCTAGAGTAAATTACTCTTGCATATGCCTAAGAGGAGCTACAGAAAAGGACAATACAGAGAATGTGTTGAGATAATATTCAAGTAGATAAATGACTAAGAATCTTGCCAACTTGATGCTATGTATCCTCAGATTCAGAAAGTGCAGGGAGTTCTGGGTAAGAAAGAGAAACGACATCTAGATACAGCTCAGATAAATTACAAACATCAAACTAAAAAAGGAAATTTAAAATCAGCAATGTGTAGGGGGGAAGGTTACTTCTAATATCTAATTCCCTTACCATTAAGGATTTTGAGCATCATTTTAGGTTTACTGGCTACTTGTATTTGTTCTTTTTGAATTATCTATCCATGTACATTGCCTGTTTTTTCTATTACATAGTTTACTCTTCCTTTGTCAATTTATGTATTTAATTTGTGTGTTGAAGATGTCAACTCTGCATCTGTCTTTCGATTCGAAAATATTTTCCACAGCTATTTTTTTCTGGACTTTGTTTATGAGATATAAAGATATCACATAGAAAATTTAGATCTCATGTAGTCAAATATATCTATTTTAATAGCTTTGTGTTCTCCTGCCTTAATAATGAAATTCCCTCCAATCTTACATTTTATCTATTTTTTTCTCTTTTACATTAAATTTCTAACTTACTTGGAATTCTATTTCTGCAAATTGAATCACACTTTTTTTTTAATTCAAATATCTATATAACTGTGTCTTCACAGTTTATTAAGTACACTATTAATTCCTTGCTAAAATAAAATACCATACATTAAATTCCCATAAGTAATGGGATCTATTTTTAGATTCTCTCCTCTAGTGCACTGATCTATTTGTTCCTACAGCACTGCCTTATGATTTAACTATGATGATTTAATGATATACCCTATATCAGGTCATAGCTAAGCAGTCGCTTAATCTTCTTCATTGTATTTTCTTGTTATTATTAGCTATTTCCTTTCCTATACACATTAAGTCCATTTCATTCAATTTTTCTAATGTTAGAATCCAATTCACATTATATTACATTTGTTTGTAATTTTTTAATTAACATAGTTATGATGCTAGACCTGTCTCATCTCAGAAATGTGATCTTTTTATTTATTCCTACCTAATTTTGTAATCTTGAGAAGGATATATAGTTTTTTTCATATACATCCTCTAATTTTTATTAATTTATTGCTAATTTATAGGCATTATCTCTATTAAGGAACATTATTTATATTTTTAGGTACTTATTGTTACTGTAGAGAAAAGTTATTCATTTTTTATCCCCTTTTATGCAGTCATGTGACTGGATTTAAGTATTAAATTTAGAAGTCTTTTTGCCATATTTCTTGGTTTCCTAGCTATAAAATCACAGAGCAAACAAAATCATTTTAGCTCTTCTAATATTTATTAACCAATTAGCTCATTTTCTTTTCCAGCCAGCTTCAACAGCAATGCCGAATAATAATGCCAGTTGTGGGAATACCTACCAAGTTTATGATTTTAACTGAAATAGCAAATGTTTCATAATTTAGAAATATATTGCTTGCTATTTTTCATAGTATTTTTATATTCCTATTTTTCCTAGAGCTGGTATTAGCAAAATTAACGTTTTGTGTGTATGAAAGACAAGACAGAAAACATATAGAATTAATGTTGCAACTACTCAACTCAGCCATTGTACATAAAGTCAAAACAATACATAAATACTGGGTGTAACTGTGTCCTAATAAAATGTTTATAAAAACAGACTAAATGTAGCCCATTAGCCATTGTTTGCTGAACCCTAGCCTAGATTTTTATTAAGAATTGATCCCTAACTTTCTAAAAGTCTGAGTATAATAATGGTCACGAGTACAGACTCTGGAACACAGAACGTGGATTTGAAATCCATCCCAACAACTTCTTATCTGTGTGATATGAGACTGATTACTTAACCTCTCTTTGCTTCAGTTTTTTCTTGTGCAAACTCTGTGTAATTGTAGTACATACTTTATAAAGATATGTGGAAAAATTACCTAATATTTGTAAAGAATGTATATGCCATGCATGCATATACTAGATGTCACATAAATGCTGATTAGCAAATAAATACAATACCTTTTTAGTATCTATGGATACACTCCTATGTTTTTAATTATATAATTCTCTAGTATTTTACAATTTTTTATAGTATATTCTTTTGATACTTATCTAGTTTCTGTGTGCCTATAGATGCTTTTGAATACCTTTATCAATTAATTTTAAAAATAAGTTAAATTTAAATTTAATACTAATATAACAGTTTATTTCTTCCAAAAGTCGAAATCATTTCATTGCATAAATTTTCTATTTCAAAAAAGGGAAATGCTATTATCTTTTAAGTCTAGTGATAGGATTATGGGAGCTGATAAGTTAACTTTTGTAACTTTTGTAAATTTTGTATATTTCAAAAACAAATTAAAAATAACTAAATTAAAAAATAAAATGTAAGGTTTTATTACTAGCCACAAATGCTTAGATGACAGCTGTTAGCAGAAAAAACATTAAAGTATCAGAAGAGAGAATTTGTATTCTTCTAGTTTCCCACGATAATGTTATATAACATATATATATATATCCCTATAGCTCAGTAGGTTACAACAACAGGTATTTATTCTCATGCTATAGGTCCATTGGTCAACTCTGTCTCGGTGGGTATACCTAGGCTCAGCGAGATGGCTCTGATTTAGGCTATAAGTTGGCCACAGGTCTGCTCTCGGTATGCTCATTTTGGAGCTATAGCAAGAGCAACTAACTGGATCATACTATTCTCGTAGCTGATTGCTGGACACCAAGAGCATACCAAACAATCAGCCATGTTTTAGGTCTGTGTTCACCTCACATCAACATTCCATTGGTCAAACAAGTCACATGGCCAAGCCTAATTATCCATGCTCAGGGACATATACTGCGCCTACAGCAGGGAGGTTCAGTAAATGAATATTGATGAACAGTCATCCATACTATCACAGTTTGCATCTTAAGAGTTTATTTTGAATTTGTTAAGAACCACGCACACCCAAATAAAATGGGTAAACTGATTTTAGTTTCTCCACATTTATTTAGCTGCTTCCAACCTGAGCTAGGGCTTTAAAGAGTATTGCTAGCACATGTGCTACCTCGTGTACATTTGAAAAGGACACATCTCTTCCTGGGCTGATGCAGCTGTACATGCACACACCATGGGGATGTGGCTACATTCACGCCCACATACCCATCTGGTGAGGTACATTTGTCCTGTTATGATCTGTTCAATTTTTATGACTTTCCTTATGCAGAATTCTAAAATCAGGAAAATTTTAGTTTGGAGCTCTTTTTTTCAAATACCTCTCTTCCTCTTTTGTTGTTCCCCCACCCTCCTGTTGTCCAGTCTTAGCCCAAACCTTGACCTGTGGCATCCCATCAAGTTACTCACTAGATACTTTCCTTCACTCAAAACTGCCAGTCTTCTTTCCCAGGCTCTTAGTACTTCATGTTTTCCTACTGACACTGGGTGGTGATGGCCCTCCCATTGCATTTAAACACTCAGCCTATGTAAATTCTTTGTGCTTCTCTTAAAGCAGATGTCACTTGGGGGTTTAGTTTACTACCCTCCTGATGGTTTCTAGAATTTCATCAAAGAAATATTTCATATTCGTATCTTTACATACCAAAATTTTGTTTTGGAACAATTGAATTCAGTTGTCTTAATGTAAAACACAAAATGTCTGTCTTAATGTTAAATAGAAAATGTTAAATATTTCAGCAAAATTACTTTCATATAAGTTCTCTGTAGCAAAGAAAAATTTTTTGGCATTTATCTGTAAATATATATATAAATTTATATGAATCTAATGAGTGATATAATGTTCATAGTTACATATTTCACATAATTTTGATAGTGTATTTGTTTCATTTTATTCTAACTTTGGGAGTAGTTTTATTATTTTCTAGAATTCTTTATGACTGTCATTTTTTTTCCGATTTAGATTAAATCTATTGATGAAGAAAATGTAGTTGGCAAGATTTCGAAGCAGTGGACTGGTTTTGTGAGAGAGGCATTTACAGATGCCGATAACTTTGGGATACAGTTCCCTATAGACCTTGATGTGAAAATGAAAGCTGTGATGCTTGGTGCATGTTTCCTCATTGTAAGTCAATTCTTGTTAATCTTGGGTATAGATGGTTTCTCTAGTATCATTCTGAAATGATTCAGTAAGTTGTACATTTTTAAATGACCTTTTTAAGTGTATAGCTTTTATTTAAAGGGGTCCCATTTAATCTTAGTTCTGAAATTCTATTTTCTTCTGATACTCCTGATTCACAAGTGACTATTTTCTCTGGAACTTCTGCTCATTTTCACATGGCAATAGAAGGACTTTGTGTGTCAAATAGAGGGCCTGGTCTTTGAGGATTTTATTTAAAAATTGAAATAGGTACTTAGAAGACTTCAAATATGGCCTTACATGGAATAAGGCTCAGTGAAACACAGATTTCCTCTTGATTCATTATAAATTATATCCTCTGATACAGGAATGTAAACTGCAATAAGTGTACACATCCAAATAAGCCTTCAGATGGAACTGCCACTTGAGAGAAAACACACTGGATAGAGCAGTGATTCTGAACTTATCATCCATTAAATCACTTAGGGAGCTTTCAGAAACGCCAAGTACCAAATCATACCCCAGCTGAACTAAATCACAAGCTGGGAATCAGAAGTTGTATGGCTCCCATGGTGATTCAGTGTGTAGTCAAAGTCAAGGACTCCTGGGACAGAGCATTGGTTCTCAGCCTTAGATGCACAGTTGAAACACCTGACTACCTTCTCAAATTCCTTGTATCAAGATTACACCCAAATAGAAATTAAAACCCCTGGAAATGGGACCAAGCTTTCAAGCTGTTTAGAACCACTAAGATTAGTATTTTAAACATTCATTTGAGGAGCAGTCAGAAAAAAAACTAAAAGATGAGGGTATATGCAACAAAAAGGATCCAGAATCTTCAACAAATAAATGTCAAAAAAATAAGGTAAAATCAAAATGAGAGAGAGTTTTAAAAGACATCAACTTAATGCAGTTGGTAGACTATACTGAATTGAACAAACCAATATAAAAAGTCATTTACAATTTTTTCACCAAAGTCCACATATGCTTCTATATGTGTGTGACTTGTAATAAAGGATTAACAACAACAAAAAGACATTTACAGCTGTTTATAGAAATTTAAACATCGATTGGCTATTTGATGATTTATGACTTATTGTTTTTTTTAAAGATATGATGATGATGATATGATTATGTAAAAACAAAATAAGAATCCATATTTTTTAGGGTCACATACTGAAATATTTTAATATAAAATGATTTGATATCACATATTTGCTTTTAAATAAAAGATGTGAGGGCAGGAGTATCTAGGGGACGAAGCAATTGATGAACCAAGATTGGCCATATTAATAATTATTAAATCTAGGTGACTGGCTATTTGGAATTTATTATGCTATTCTATCTAATTTAGGATAGGCTCAATATTTTCTATATACATTTTTAAATATAACCACAATTCTATTTAAAAGTTGTGTTTTCAATAAGTGTTTATCTCACATAAAAAGTGAAATTTAACCTTAACCTTTAGGAAAGTGTTTAACCAAAGGTTTACACACCATAACCAAAGATATAGTGTGTATAGGGAAGAGAGGACAGTCTGGGGTGTCTCGATAAATGGGACATGGGATTGGTAGGGGAGTTATTAGGAAAAAGAGTGTGGAATTGGGCAACTTTAGGATTGGGTAACTTCTTATAGACATTGGGAAGATACTGAAAGTTGTTCAGTTAACTGGTTAGTTTTAAACTAGGTCTAAATAAGAGAGTTATCAATCCAAAGTTTAGAAAGATAAATCCTAGTGACTGTGTGAGAAATGAATTGAAGAGGTAAAATTACAAGAATGCAATTGCAAGTAATTATAAATAATGATTACATTATTTTTGTTGAAGGGATAAAGGAAAATGATAGATATGTGAGATAAAATCCATAGGATTTGACATAAGTCATGGAGGAGAGTGTCTAGTTAGACAATGATGGAGTGAAACAAGCTGGAGAACACAGTGGACATGTTTGGAAGAGAAATCATAAAACTGGGCCAAAAAATTCTAAGAGGCATTCTAACTCTAAAAAGGCTATCATTCCCCTGAAATATGTAGAAGTTGTACGTGGAATTCCAGTCATAAGAAAAGTTATATTACTAAAGAAGAAGTAAAAATAATTTGAGGAAGGAAGATTGAAAGAGGAACATTCTGAGAGACATGAAAAAAAGTGGAATTTAGAGAAATTACCAGAGAACTAATTTAATTCGTGCATGTATTAGTAAGTAAATAGAATTACAGGATTTAATTGATATTAAAATGAATGTTGAAGCGTATCGACTTTTCCCAGATCTGCTTATTAGTTAAATTTTCTTGTTTAGCAGATATGTTATTGTGTTTCATCATATCTCTTAGCATTAATGCATCTGAAAATTAATATGTGTTGCTGAAAACTCATTTCTGTGTTTTGTTTTTATTTAGGACTTCATGTTTTTTGAAACGAGTGGAGGCAAAGAACAGAGAACAGGAGTGTGGCAGTAAATTAATAAAAGTCTCCTCAGAGAATGCGAAGTTTGTATATTGATCATTATTATGTAAAAGTAAAACTCAGTGGGTTTTTTTTTCTTTATCAAAATGAATTATAGCATGAGTGAATTACACTGTCATGCCTGAAGGTCCAAGTATATGATTTCACTTTTAAAATTATAGTTTCTTTTCTATATCACTGACTTATAAATGTTTTTGTACATTTTCTTTCATTTTATACATTTCATTTTTCATTTTGTATTACAGAGGCAGGACATAGGAATTTTTACATTTAAGCGTGAAACTTTTTTGATAAATTGCTTTGAACTGTCATCTTGTATTTTCAACTTTTATAGCAAAATTGATTAAAATGATTTTAATATGAAATTATACATTATTTTAATAAATCTATTTTCAGTTTATTTCATAGGTAACAACTAATGTTTTTTGCAAAGTGTGTATTCAAAAAAGTTAAAAAATCAATATAATATTCATATTATCAAGAAAAGTAAAATGTTTTTTATTCAGAAAATTAACTATATTTAACTTCTTCTATAAGCTATTCTGCTATTATAAATAAGATTTTCATAATGGCAAGATCAATTTTTGATAGATTTCAGTGGAAAAAGACATGATTCTGTCCCAAAGAAGGACACATTTAAAGGCTCTCTCTAAAACTAGAGTATTGTTATAATTTTTCAAGTAATTATGCACACATCTTATGCTTAGTGTCTGTATTATGTTATTCACAGAACATGGTGGTTATGAGATAATTCAGGTGTTAATTAAATAGAATATATATTCTATCAGAGTATAAACTTCAGTAATGGGCTAGTAGATTGTTTATACCAACAATCAAATAACTGAAATAAAAAAAAATTAATGTATTTCCTTGTATATTTTTGTTTTAAACTGTGAACAATTAATTCATATGGTGTTCTGAATTTTAAACACTTACTTCCCCCTCTTCCTTTTCAAAAGAGCATCTATACCAGTGTTACAAACTAGAATTTCTACC